CGCTCAGTTCCTCTTCCTGGGAAGGCCCTGCCCGTTGCTCACGCCGGTTCCGTGTGTCCCTCGTGACGGCACCCACCACATTGTACTGAAATGCCCTGCCCACTTGTTGGCTCTCTGAGCTAGACTGCGAGCTCCGTGAGGGCAGGGACTCATCCTGCTCCTCTGTGTTCCCAGGGCCCAGCACTGCACAGCATAGTTTGTCAATAAGCTTCATGTCATTTACCTGCATTTGAAGGTTAAGGCTGCCTCTGGGTCTCTAGTCGTTGGCTGTTCCTTGAAGTCGCCCCTGTTCTCCTCAGTGGCCTTGACGCAGAAGCCCGCTGCAGCAAAGTCTGGACCAGGAAGGATGCACAGGGAGGCCCAGACCCGGGCACTGAAGCTGAGCCCACCTGGAAGCAAGCTGTCATTACATCCGGGAGCTCCAGCCTCTTGATCAGGCCTATCCTGGCTCACCGGGCCTTTGCCTGAGGATAGGATGCAGATTTGCAGTCTGTTCCATCCAAGTCTTCGTGATTTTCCCCAGACCCCCATGATATCGGTGTCTACTTGGTGTCTACACTGATTGATCAGTGGGGTCCTGGTGGGCAGGAAGGTAGGGAGCCAGGGGATGGTGCCCAGCTCCGAGGGGGAGGTCTAAGGCCATGTAGCTGGCAGGAGTGAGGTGAGAATCACTGCGGAGGGGGCAGCACCTCTCAAGTCCTAGTGGGCAGGAAAGGGCAGACAAATGGGAGGCGAGTCAGAGAACTAAAGTTAGGGGTGAGACAACCAAGAAAGGACCCAGGTCAGCTTCGAGGAGGGAGCGGAGGCCAGTCGCCAAGTGTTGAACCCCTGTCTAACTTGTGCTGTTGGGGAGAGCTGGGTGGCTCCCAGGGGCCACTCAGGCTAAATACGCATCTCCCCACGGAACCTGGAGCCCCTCCAGGAGAGGGACCGTCGCTTTTCGCATTTGTGTCCCTGGATTACAGAATGAATCCCACGTCCTTTCGTGCAGTCAGCATTTAAGGGAGGCGTTCTCTCCCCTGGATGCTACTCCTCCTCCTAATAAAAATCGGTATCATTTGTGGAGCTTTTACCATGTACCAGGCACTGTGCTAATGCTTCCCTTCCATCATCCCTAGGATGTCAGGCCCACGAGAGCAGGAGCAGGGCCTGCTCTGACTCACCATTGCCTTCCCAGGGCCTAGCAACAGCCTGACACAGAGAGGATGCAAATGCATATTTGTTGAATGGACCCAGAATCCTGCTGAGATAAGAAGCGGAGTCTCAAAATAACAAAGGTTATTTGACTAGTGGGATGGGGAAGTCAGGATTCGAACCCAGGTCTGTCTGACTCCCAAGGTCACAGGCTTAGCCATGCTCTGCTGTCACGGCCATCACCTCTGAGCTCCCTATCCAAGTGTGGCCTGAGAACCAGTGTTGTCAGCACCACCTGGGAGCGTGTTGGAAATTCAGAATCTCAGCTGCACCCCAAAACTATTGAATCAGAATCTGAGTTGTAACAAGACGCCCCAGTGGTTCAGATGCAGTGCCTTAAAATGTGGGAAGCTGGTCTCCCATGGCACGCACTCCCTCCCCCACAGTCCACCCCCACAGCCACTCAGGGGGTCTGTGCCCTTGGCTGACAATCAGCCGCAATCCAAATGCACTTGGCCTTTGGGTCCTTTATCCTTTGCCATGAGACTGCTGGGTGTAATTGTAGTGCTGGCAGCTTTGGCTGTGACTTAAAATTATTACCACCCTACGACCAGAAGCATATTTCCACCTTTTAAATCTTGCATGTCCAGCAGGGCTCTAGCGCCGCAAGGAACACGGTCATGAGAACGGAGAGCTATCTAGCTGGTGGTCTTCCCGTTGAACCGGAGCATCTGGATGGGGTCTCATCCCAGCCAGGGCCCTTCCGGTTCTCTGCTCTTCTGTATCCAATCACGGAGGTTGTGGACTCTCGGCTCAGTCTGTTTATTATGTACAGACAATTTAATCCAATAATTATATTCATAAACAATTCCCCAATGATGGAAGAGGCTCTGCTTGTTTATGTCTTGAAGCTTATGAGTTTGGTCTTTCGAAATAGCTTAAAGAATTGCTTTGTCTAGCAGAAGGAACACAGAAGATGGCTCATGGTTTATTTCACCCAAGTTTCCCCACCCCCCTTCTCTCTCTGATAGAGGCTCCCCAGGTCCCTAGGCCATCGACCCCATGTGTCCCCGGCCTCTCCTAACTCTTGCTCAAGAAGTCAAGTGAGGGGTTTGCTCCAGACTCACCTGACTTGTTTATGGGTTTATCTAAATCAACAGTTCTTTTAAAAAAAATTTTTTTTTATTGATTTCAGAGAGGAAGGGAGAGGAAGAGAGAGATAGAAACATCAATGATGAGAGAATCATTGATTGGCTGCCTCTTGTACGCCCCACACTGGGGATTGAGCCCGCAACCCTGGCAGGTGCCCTGACTGGGAATAGAACCATGACCTCTTGGTTCATAGGTCAACACTCAACCAGTGGGCCATTCTGGCCAGGCTGAATCAACAGTTCTGCTGAATTATACTGCAGAACTCTCCCCAGAGGTCCAGGGCAGCCATGTTGGGACTTACCCCAAGCAATCTGTGTGATGTTAGCTGCATCTGTGTGAGATGAACTAGGAGGCCTGTGGTCACCAAGAAATTGAATGTGAAGTTTGGTTCATGTGTGCATTTTTACAGGGGGAGTCAGTCATTTTCTCAGATTCTCAGTGGAGTCTGTGACCCCTATAAGGTCACTGGTTTCTCCTGCCTCTGAACTTTCAAGACCCACATTTTTTCTCTCCTTATGTTCCAGTTACTAGGATTCTATCTTCTTTGCAAACCTGGGAGCTCCATGCCAGTGCCATTCACGTCAGAGGTTCTGCATTCTGAAGTATAAGACCCTTTTGCAAAGTGCAATAGCCTCCTCACTCCAACTCACAGGAGGGGAGTTGTAATTTCATGTGTTTAGTTTACAGTTATTGCCTGATGCATCCACAGCTTCCCAGACCTCTTAAAACCCCGCCCCTGTCCAGGAACGTATAGCTCACAGGGTGAGATTGGTCATGGGTAATAGGAAATGAAAAGTCCCCAGATATTATCAAGTCCAACGCCCCCATTTCACAGGTGAGGACACTACAGCCACTAAAAAGAGAAGGGACTTGCCTGAGGTCATACACAGAGTGTCTGTCACAGCTGGGGCTAGGAACCAAGTGTTCCGACTGCCCGGATTCCATTGCTGACGCCCACACCCTCTCTGTAGTTTTAGCCACACAGATGTTTTCAAGAAATATTTGTGAAATAAATGAATGAGTATTGGGCAGGGTTAGGATGCCTGTAGAGTTGAAGTTTTCTCTAGTTATCTAAAATAAGTGGATAGTCTTGTTTCTCTCTCTTCTCTCTCTCTCTCTCTCTCTCTCACACACACACACACACACACACACACACACACACACACCCTAGACTGGGTTGATGTAGCAGTTTGAGCCTGGAGGGAAAGATAGAGGTGGTTAAGGGGGATGAGGGGGTGAGGGGGATGAGGGGACTTCTTTTTCTGGAACTTAATGTTAAGAAGCCCTAACTTGCCTTTGTTTAACTCCAACCTCAGTTTACATGGATTAATTTAATCATTATTTATTGAGCAACTTTTAAAAAAATATATTTTATTGATTTTTTACAGAGAGGAAGGGAGAGGGATAGAGAGTTAGAAACATTGATGAGAGGGAAACATCGATCAGCTGCCTCCTGCACACCTCCTACTGGGGATGTGCCGCAACCAAGGTACATGCCCTTGACCAGAATTGAACCTGGGACCTTTCAGTCCGCAGGCCGACGCTCTATCCACTGAGCCAAACCAGTCAGGGCTATTGAGCAACTTTTACGTGTTGAGCACTGCACTGAGGATGTGAGGGTCAGTAAGTCCGAGCATGGCCCTGTCTTCTGGTTGCCCACAGTCTATGAGGTGATGGCTACAAACCTTCACAGGCCATAGAGCCGACGGCTCCACCCTCCTGACTGCAGATCTGACAGGTCTTCACTGAGCCCAGGGAATCCAAGTGGCCAGGATCACTTCCTTCTTGTGGTGGGCACGACTGCATCTGCCATTCCCAGTGCCAGGACCGCAAGGAACGGGGGTCATGCAGTTCAAGGCTTTGCTACACATGGGGAAACCGAGGTCCAGGGCAGCCATGTTGGGACTTACCCCAAGCAATCAGAGAATCGGGGGCCCAACCAGGACCATCGCGTGGATCTCAGAGGTTGGTCCTAAGGGCTGGGTCCAACAAGGGGAGGAGAAGAGGGCACCTGGGGAGGAGGGAGCAGGGAGTAAGGCTGCCCTAGCTTTCCAAAGATCGCTCTGGAGTCAGAGGAGCTGCCTTGGATGTGGGGCCAACGTCAGTCCCCATCACGGAGAAGCTGTCACCTGGCCCAGGCCAGGGATCAATGCTGCCCTCAGGCACCAGAGGCCTGGCAGGAGGAAGAAAAAAAAAAGAATTGTTATCAAATTTACAAAGTCCTTCTATGTACCAAAACATTTATACGTGTTGACCCTGTCAATGAGAAAATTGCTGCTGGCCTTCCTCAAAGAGTCGTGAGGATCAAATAATAATAACTATTGTTATAACAATAACAGCAGCAGCCATTCATTTGCGTGGGAACGTGTGCTGAAGACAGAGTTGTGAGCCAGCAAGCAACCAGACGCACTAGCCTGAGCCAGAGTATCCATCCCGGCCTCACAGTGAGGGAGTGGCTCCACAGAGAAGGGGCGTGCTCCAGGCCCCTCAGCGGGCTGGCAGGGGGTGGATTGAGACTTGGTTCCTCCTGCCCACAGTTCAGGGCCTTTCCTGATGCCACCTTGGCTCTGTAGGCAGCCCCCAAGAGGGCGAGCACAGCCTTGAACTTCCAGGGGAGCCTCCACCCTCTCTGACTCTCAGGGTGCAGCACCCCCAGGGCTGTGCATGCGCTCCCTGCCCCACAGGCCAAGGTGGCACCTCAGGCCTGGATGTCACCGGACCTGAAGCCAGTGCATTTCTGCCTGGCGGAGTCCTGCTGGCAGCTCCGGGACCAGTGATGTCCCCAGTGCTCCTGAGATGAACGTAGGCGATAGCCAGGGATGGCGCTGAATACGGAATCACTTAATGAGAAAGAGATGACAAGTTCAGTTATATTTTCAGTCCTTCACATCATATCATTTTAATTTGCTGCTAGCATGTCTTTAATACCATTCTAAGCCTTGCTTGTGTGTGTGTATTAAAAAAAGATGTGTGTTTTGTTGTGTGTGTGTTTTTTTAAAGCAGGCCTTGGGCTTGGAGCCTTTGGCAGGCAACAGTATCTAGTTAGAATTTAATAACATTGTTTTTATTGTATTTATTTTTACTTTTAGCTCCTATTTATGGCAGGTGAGACTGGTTTTCCATTTGCAGGAGTGATATAAAGTTTCCATTCTAAAGACATTTATTTAGGTTAAAAAGAGTCTATTTAAAGAAAAATACTAAATGAATAATAATACAGGTGGCAGGCAGACATCGCCTAGGTGGTACAGCGAGTCCTGAAATTTGGGAAACATTGATATATGCTGTCGTGGAACAAAAAAGTCATGGATTCTCAGAATCAGACACCATTGCATGTTGGAAGCCCAGGATTCTAGAATCCCAGAACAGAATCTTAGCACCATCAACCCTAAAACGAATAATTTAACATATGAGATGCTATGAAGCATTGTCTCTCAGGAAATATTAGCATGTGGGGGGAAAGCCTTGAAGCCATCTGTCTGTTCAATCCCCTCATTTTGATGTGGGGAGACTGAGGCTCCAGGAGATTAAGGATAGAAAGAAATAACATGCGAAAGAGCCTTATAAAATGTAATGTGTTCTTCAAATGTTAGGGGTATTTATAAAAGGCTCCTCCCCGCCCCCCTGCAAAGTTACTGGGTTTTCTAGGAGAGAACTGGGACCAACGTCAGCTTTCTTGACTCCTGTCCCTGCAGCTGTTGCTTTCTTGGCACCCCACCCCCACCCCACCCTCAGCTATGACGAGGCCCTTGAGGCTCCCCTGGCCCAGGCCCAGCCTCTGCCGGGAGTTGTGGGGACATCTGCAGAGGGAGGGGAGGTGGAGGGTCCCACCTGCAAAACCAGCATGTTGCCAGAAGGCCTCCAAGGGAAAACCCATTTTATGATTCTAACTTTCCGTGTTCCTCTGGGGGTCTCAGTTTCTGGTTCCGTTCAATAGTCGGGAACCTAACCACTGCTCTTCCTGACCCCCAGGGATGTAAGCATAATTCCTGGGTCTTATTTGTAAAGAGCGTCGGGGTCCATCCCTGGGGCATCTGGCGACTGTCAGTGGGGACAGGACATTAGGCAAGACAAGGCCTTGAGAGCTGTTGAGGTGACGAAGGGAAAGGGATCCATCACCCTGTCGGGAAAGACCCCAACGCCCCAGCTTCATTTCTCCACGTGCCTGGAATTGACGGGATTGCCTTGGCCAGGGGCCCACTGCCCTGAACGTTGGGGATACAAGGTGTGGCGACGGGCTGGACCCTTTGGGAAGGTCAGCGATGCTGCTCTGACCTGGTACCTCTGGGTACCCAACTTTCAGAATGGCTACCTAGCTACTGGCACAAAGTGTGGCCCATCCAGGTCCCAGTCCTTCTTCACACAGCGGGGAGAAGGGGCCTCTGGCAGGGGTGGGGGGGGCAGCAATTCTCTCCAACCACACAGCCAATGGCCCCTTTCTCCTGATGCCCAGACCTAAGGGAGCTCCTTGGATGACCAGAGCTGCCCCTTCTCATGGTAGGCACCTCATTCATCTGCCAGGCCCAACTTTTCACACCCACTTCTGAAGTGTGTTCTCTCTCCCTCTGCCCCAAGAACCGTTTCATGTGGCTCATGGGAGGGGAAATACCGTGGGCAGTTGCTCCTCTGTAGCTGGCCGGCTCGGGGGTGGGGGTGGGGGAGAGCAGCCCCCTCTTCCTGAGGTGGCCCGCAGTCCACCTCCTGGGTGCCAGGGGCCCTGGGTGTGCAGTCATGTGGATTCCTGAGTAAGTTCCCGGCGGCCCAGCGGCAGCCCCCACCACCACGGCTGACCCTTCCCGGCCCACCATGCTCCAGGCAGGCGCCGGAGGAGGAGGAAAAAAAGGACCACTTCTCTCGCCGCCGGGGCTCCAAAGCATCTAAGCCATTCTCTCCACATTAATCATGGAAAAGACAGCATGCTCCGGCCTGGGAGGGAGAAAGCGGCTTTTTCATCTGTCTGGCTACGCGGGTCTCGACACCAAAGTTCAGTCCTGGCTAAGCTCTCGCTCTTGACAGCTGTCCCGCCGCCTCCCACCCATCTCAGCCTCTTCCACCCACACCCGCAAAGGATAACAGGATTAAGTCAATTTCGCTTTTCTGAGAAAACGCTCGAGAGCCTGTCCTGTCCGCCGGGCCGTGGAGGCCAGCTCACGGCTCCTTGGCACCCACCCGCGGGCTCCCGTCCTCCCTGGCCATTACCCTGGGCTGGGACTGTTAAGTATTTCCTCATTAAAGCCCTGGCAGCTCGGCTCAGGTCTGCGAGCCAACAGCAATAGTTACAACTGCCCTGGAATGTTTGGACAGATTTCTGCAGTTACGAGTTTATGATGTTGAAAGGTTTTATAGACAGGGGACTGTGTTGGTGTTAAGGGAGTCCATGTCTCTGGGGGCCCCAAGTCTGCTGTCTTAAGATCCTAGCGGCAGGAGGAGGAGGGGAGGGGGCCAGAGGAGCCAGGGAGGCCAACCCAGGAGCAAGAAGAAAGAGCCAGACCGCCGAGGGATCTGCCGAGTGAGGGACGTGAGAGGGGCACCCAGAGTCACTTTTGCCTCCAAACGAGGAAATGCAAACTCCGCAGAAGGAGAGCATCGGAGCCTGAGCTCCTCTGGCAGCCAAAGGGACCGCCGTCAGATCTTCGTTGTCTTCTGTCCCCAAATCTGCAACCCTCAGAGAGGAGTCCAGCGTGGGCTTCGAAGGGGAAGGGACCTCCTCTCCAAACCGCATGCAAATTGCTGCGGGTCTGTGCTTTTTTGGGGAGAGGACCCCTAAATTGCATCATATTTGAAAAGGCAGCTGTGACCAGGACTACTGAGTTATACCTACCCTCTCATTGTGTTTCGAGGCAAACTGAGGCCCATTCTAGTCATTCATTCGCTCATTCATCAAGTATTTTTCCAACTTAGAATTCCGAAGGGCAGGCCCAGCACACTTGTCACTATACCACTCTCTCCCAGGCTCTCCCCAGGCTGTCCTGCTTCACTCCTTTTCTGCTCTCTTGTGTGGAAAAGGAGGAAATGCAAGAAAGATCTTGGTGGGTGGGCTTGTCTCCTTGACCATTGCAGCAATTGAGACGTAGGTCATTCTACATGAAAAGACCCTGCTGTAACATCAGGCACAGAAGGGAAAGGAGTTTGCTCAAGGCCACACAGCACGGCAGTGAAGGAAGTAGACTTAGTTTCCCTCCCAGGCCGAGGGTCTCTCCACTGATTCTCATGCTATGCTTTATCATACACACTCTGGCCCTGACAGTTAGGCATAGGCCAGGGCCAGGCCAGTGTCCCAAAGGGGGGTGGGTAGGGGTCTAGAGTCGGAGAGAATGACAGACAAAGAGGAACCAAGTGGAAGGGAAGAGAAGCTCAGAGAATGGCCAGGAAACTCCATGATCCTTCCCTGTTGTACAGGTAAAACCACTAGAACACAGCAAAGCATTGACTTCTCTTCTATTTTAAAGAAATGCATACTTATGTTAAAATTAGTTATACATAAAAGTAGAAAAAATTCATCTATGATCTCACCCCCCAAACATAGCCATTGATGAATAATCTGGTACATTGTAGACGGTGGCTGTGCTTTCTCTGTTTAACTGAACTGCACCATCTAAAGCAGTGGTTCTCAACCTTCTGGCCCTTTAAATACAGTTCCTCAGGTTGTGACCCAACCATAAAATTATTTTCGTTGCTACTTCATAACTGTAATGTTGCTACTGTTATGAATCATAATGTAAATATCTGATATGCAGGATGGTCTTAGGTGACCCCTGTGAAAGGGTTGTTCGACCGCCAAAGGGGTCGTGACCCACACGTTGAGAACCGCTGCTCTAAAGGAAAGCAGCAGCACAGAAAGGCTAGGCGGCAGGGGTGTGTGTGGGTGTGTGACCTGGGCAGTTGCACAGAGCCCTGAACTTAGAGGGGCTCATGCTTGGCTGAATGCTCGGTGGTCACCGCTTTGAAATTCTTAATAATGTTTGAACCAGGGATTCCAACATTGTCACTGTGCCCTGGGCCTGCACATCATGCGGCCGGTCATGGCAGGTGGTCCGGGTGAGCACTCAGCCCTGTCTCGACTCCCTGTGTGACCTTGTGCATGACTTCACCCTGGGGTGCCCCTGTTTCCCGGGGTGTCAGATGGGGAGGATTGGAGGGCCTTCCTTGCAGGTTGTCATGAGAAGTAACTGAGGTCGGCTTCTGGGGGAGCCTGTGGGCAAGCGGTGTCCCCTCGGGGCTCTGCGGCTTTGCCCGGTTCCTGCCTTCTCCGAGGAGCAGTCCCTGGCCCTGGGTGTGCGGCGGTCCCTGCCCTTCCCAGTCCAGGCCGGTGCCCCCTCCTCCTAGGAGCTTTCCCAGGATCTGCATCTGCAGAGACCTCCCCTGAACCTCCATGGCACGTGGGCGGTGTCTTAGGAGGCCCGTTTCTACTTCGGGTTGTGATAACGGTGTCCGACTCTTTCCTCCTCCTCAACTTGTACGCTCAGACCTGGGGTTCCACAGGCCAGACATTCCCCCAAATTAAAAACTGAGCTAGGGTTGCCAACTATCTTCTTTTGCCAAAGACATGTGTAAAAGGTTATTGTTTAGAATAGCCACGACCTCCTTAAAGAAAGGATTTTCGACAACCAACAAAGCAGGAAGGACCTAACCACCGAGCAAGAGGCAATCTTTTAAAGGGAATGAAGGGAACTTTAGGACAAACTCCATTGTTGTCCTCTCACGTCACTACTGATCTATGCAATCTTCCCCTGGGACCAGCATCTGGGCCTGTTCCTCATCAGACTCTGCCTCGCTGCCTCGTTCTGCCAAAGAGACCCCGGGCCCTGCTCCCTGCCCCAGCCATGATATTCAAGGGGTTATT